TGCAATGCTTTACCTATGATTGAGTCAAATTTTCTTTAACTTAAAGCATGGCTAAACTACCAAAAGATATTAAACATAAAATCTATTCACTACCACCTAACTATTTCAATTTATATTTTATAAACAGTTGTGATCTTCAAAATAATATTCAATTTTGTGAGATCAACTTGTTTTATCTTAAGATTGTAGCGTTGATAGCTATTATCCTCTAATTTGCAACAACTTCAATACTTACATCAATTTTTTTCAAATCATTAATTATTTTAAAAATAAGTTTTAACTCTCTGAATATTTCTTTATGTGTTTTTGCTCAGCACCTCTTCAGTGAATCACATTTTTTTTTATTGTTCTCTTTATTCTTAGAAATGCAGTCATTTAGATATAATTTCTGATCAAATTTACTAAGCACTTTTTCTTTACCCCTCTACCTATATTTTTGTTGTTGCTGACTTTAATTCTCATTCCAATGAATAGATTAGGTTTATCAACCCTGTTGTTTCTTAAATTCATAACTTCTATACTTCTCAATCTCTTACTAGCTTGTGTTTAGTTTCTCCTTATTCTCTCCTCTGTGGTTATGACCATGCAATGATTTTTATAAATCTTTTATCTTGTACTTCTTTTTTGAGCTTGCCTTGTCAACGCACTATTTGCAATTAGCCTAAATCCGACTGGAATTCTTTTTGTAATTTTTTCGTGACGGTCTTTTGACTGACGTCTTTCTGTCTCCGCTGATAAATGCGCCTCCTCACATAAACTCCTGAATCCATGAAGGAATGCAAGTTTTTATTAATTTTTAGTGCTAGTAATTTAAGTCTTATTCTGTTTCACGGTTTCCATCTTCTTGTGCAGCTACTATTTTTAGTTGAATTCACTTTTTTTATTTTTTTTTTAGGAAAAAAACGACTCTCTTGTAAACAAAAGTCTTTTTATTGTCGCAAGGAACCAATGTAAAAAGGTGCTATCTAATGCTAAGCTCCAATATTCTTAGTTTAATAAATCTCGTACTTTATCTAAGAAGTTAGATTCAAGAAATTTTTAGCAAATCTTTTTCAAAAAAGTAAATTATATAATCCCTCTTTGATTGATAAGACTGATTTTGCTCCAACTCCCTATGATAAAGTCAAACCATTTGCAAAGAAATTTACCTGAAATATTTACTCTTTAATCTAATAATATATGTTCTTTCTACTTTATTCCAGTTAAACAGATTGATTTGTAGTCATCCAAATCACACTGAACTTTGATAATAAATTTATTTTTCAAATAAACTTATTTGTGGCTTGTGGTAAAGACTTAATTCCTGTCATAGTTTTAAAAAATTGTTTCCCAGAACTTTCTTTAAATCTCCCTACACTTATTAGTAAGTGCTAAAATGAATCCTGTTATCTTGTGTGCTAGAAAATGATATCGTTGTTTTGATTTTTCTAAATCATTATGGAACATTACAACATCTTCAACTTTTGTCTAATCAGACTTCTCTTTATTATTTATTAGGTCTTTAAGTCTTTAATCAACACACTTTTATCATTTCATCTAGAAGTCTAATAAATTATTCTTTTACATTTGATACAGAATTCGATCCTCGTATACTATGGTTGACTTGCTACTGAAAAATTCTGTTGAACATTAGATCGATGTTGTGAGACAAAGGCTCACTTTATTTGACATATTATAATGCAGAATTTAATGCAGATTTTATGCTGGTTTTCTTCATAAGCTTGCTTTATATGGTTTATCTGGGTAAAGTTTTAAGAATATTAAATCATTTCTTTTTAACCGCAGTGTTTAGAGCATCTTAAAAAACAAATAATTTTTTTTAATTCCAGTAAGTTTAGAAGTACCATAAGATTCTATCCTTGATCATGTTATTTTTCTTATCTAAGTTAATATAATTTTTTAACCTAAATTATTTTAAATGATTAATAATTTTTCTGGCTATCTTACTCTAAAAGTGGCTCTATTTGCTGACAACTTAAATTTATGTTTGTGCCTGGAAAAAATATCTTCTCTTTTCTTTTACTTAGAACGATCCGCCAGTTTTTAATCTAATTTTTTTTTCTGTAACAGCATAAAACTTGCAGTGGATTGTCAACTGTAACTCTAACAAAACTCAATTATTTAATGCAAATAAAAGTTGCAATATTCATGACATTTTTGCATTTACGAATGGCCTCACACTAATTTCTTTACTATATGTTAAATTATCATTTACTACTGACTTCTCGTAGAATCATTATATATTTTCTAAACTATATAAATACATATATAGAATGCAAAATTAATAAAGTTAATATGTATTTATATAGTATACAAAGTTAAAAAATCCATATAAAGAATGTAAAGTCTATTAAGGTTGTTTCTTTTAATTTTATTTGTTATTTATTTACTACTAATTTACTCGCAACACCTATGGAATGCTGTTATCATAAATACGCCTGTTCTTCTAATGATATTCTTTTTTTTAAAACAAAATTGAAAAATGCATTGTTAGTGTTGCTGGATATGCTTTGTCTTCTAAGCTTAAGCCACTATTCAATCATTGTATTGTTTTATCTTTTTCTCTTCCCTGCAAATAGTATCATAGTTGTTGCTCAAATAAGCTAGCTCTATCAACAAAAACATATTATCGATTGCTCATCATTTAGCAAAGTTGAATGATTTTGCTCTATCTATTTCATCATTATAGAGGTTGTAGGGTATATAGTCATGTAGAATATGTTTAGAAATTAGAGTCTAATTGAAAATGAATTACAGAGAAGAAAAAAAAAAGAGGCAATACTGATGTTAGACCGTCAGCCCCATCAATTCTAATTTATATATACATATTTCAATTTTTATTTTATACAAACTTACACTTTTAGTTTATTAATATCATGATCTCATAAAAAATTATTCGACTTTTTTCAATTAAACAAATTATGCTGATTCTTGAATATTGTGACAAGGCAGTTAAAACAAATACAAACGGCTTAACTTTTTTGTTGAACTAAATCTAAAAAGATCAGTTTTTTGTTTTTTTTTTTTAGAAGGTTTTGCAATATTCTTTAATTTGCATTAAGTTATTGTTACATTCAAAGTGAGATTTTCTTTGATCGTTTTTACTGCTAGTATACTTTTGACTAATATATCTTATATACATTGAGACTAATGGGACTTTCTATACATATTTGAATCAATCTCTTTATATATACTAACATGCTTGTAACTTGTAGTATATGCATGTCTAAATTAAAAAAAAAGTAATCAGTTAATAAAAACAAATTATCTTAAAAAAATGATCACGTGTTTGTATATATTTCTTGGCAAGCAATTCCGTTGCAAGTATAGAAAATGTGGAACATTTAAAGCAGCATTTTTTAATGAATTTTAAGCTTTCATTGAGATATACGTAGCTTTTTCAAGACAATTTAGAACCACAAAACTCAAAGTTACCACTAACAGATCGTATAAAAAATTGAATACAAATTATTAAAATATGATAAAAAACCTGACCTTTTTTTGATACTTAACAAAAAGTTATATATATATATATATATATACATATATATATATATATATATATATATATATATATATATATATATATATATATATATATATATATATATATATATATATATATATATATATATATATACATATTTATATATATATATATATATATATATATATATATATATATATATATACATATATATATATATATATATATATATATATATATATATATATATATATATATATATATATATATACTATATATATATATATATATATATATATATATATATATATATATATATATATATATATATATATATATATATATATATATATATATATATATGTATATATATATATATATATATATATATATATATATACATATTTATATATATATATATATATATATACATATATATATATATATTTTTGTTAAGTATATAGCTTTAGTTGGAAAAGTTTATATATATAAATATAGCGTATAGAGGATTTTTGGTGTTTGAGATAGCTAACTTCCAGACATGTAGCAATATATATATATATATATATATATATATATATATATATATATATATATATATATATACATATTTATATATATATATATATATATATATATATATATATATATATATACATATATATATATATATATATATATATATATATATATATATATATATATATATATACATATATATATATATATATATATATATATATATATATATATATATATATATATATATATATATATATATATATATATATATGTATGTATATATATATATATATATATATATATATATATATATATATATATATATATATATATATATACATATATATATATATATATATATATATATATATATATATATTTTTGTTAAGTATATAGCTTTAGTTGGAAAAGTTTATATATATAAATATAGCGTATAGAGGATTTTTGGTGTTTGAGATAGCTAACTTCCAGACATGTAGCAATCTTCAAAGATTTGTATGTTTATACTTGCGTCAAATATAGATGGTTCGCAAAAAATGATGATTCGAGCCTGTGAACAAAAAAGCACAAAACTTTCGTGTTTCCTGCTTTAAACGTGAGAGCAACAAGTTTATAATTTATTTTTTTTTTCCTTTTTTTTACTAGACTTATATTCATCGAAAAATTTTAAGTTTCAAAAAATAATCACTCAACGTTCAAAATTTATGACCTTACTAAGTTTGTATCCCCCTCAAATTGGGGGGTCACAAATTTTATATGGTAATAATTTTTGAACGCTAAGAGATTACATTATAAGCCGACTAAAATTCTTTTTGTGATTTTTTTCGTGAAAAAAATTCTTCCTTCGTTACTGATATATATATATATATATATATATATATATATATATATATATATATATATATATATATATATATATATATATATATATATATATATATATATATATACATACATGAACATTGGCGTATTTTAATTTATTAAAGTATACCTGAAAAATTTAACAAAACAAGTAAGAATAAAACGTTGCTTCTCGCCTCCATTTGACAGAGATGAAAGTTTTAATTTTTGCAATATGTTTTAAATTAACAAACTTAACTGATTCTTGATGTAATATTGTGGCACAGCAGTTAAAACAAATAAAAACGGATTAAGCTTTTATTGAATTAAAGCTAAAAAAATCTTTCGCTTTTTTGTCGTTCATACTAAAAATTTTTGCAATCATTTTTTATTTACTCACCTTTTTTGAATTAAGTTATTGTAATTCAAATGATTTAAAGTAAGACTTGCTTTTGTTTTTACTGCTAGAATACTTTTGACTTTCATATCTCATATATATTTCGACTTATATGACTTGATATATATATATATATATATATATATATATATATATATATATATATATATATATATATATATATATATATATATATATATATATATATATATATATATATATATATATATAGATATAGATATCAGACAGCAAGCTTACATTAACCCAAAGTAAGTTTTAACATTGGCAAGTTTAATCCATTGGGCCAACATTTAGCCAATGTTTTTTTTTCGACGTATTATTTTCAATTCTGCAAATCGGTTTTTTGCAAATATTGTACTCTATTTGGTCAACATTTAGCCAATATTTTTTTTCGGCGTAATGTTGTAATTCTACAAATCGGTTTTTTGCAATTATCGTTTTACGTTAGGCCAACATTTGGCCAATATACTTTAGGCTTAATATTTTGCTATAAATCTTTCAATAAAATCTGTTGCCGTAGCCAATGTTGGGCAAATGTAGTTGCAGATTAGTTTTTTTTTTAAAATTTGTTGCAAAACATTTTTAAAAATGGTGTTGTTTGACAAAATAAAAAAAGGTCTTGATATTATCTTTCTATTTTTTTAAATTATTAAAATATAAAAAAAAGCTGTAGTTATGAATCTTCTAACAATCTAAAAAGGTTCCTTATAAGAAATGAATTTCAACAGACTCTCGTGACCTAATATTTTGTTTTTTTTTAAATAATGAAATATTTGCTAACATTTAAATAACATGCTTAAAACATTTTTTAATACAATCTAAATTATTAATGTAATAATAAAGGCAATAACTAAGTTATTTTTGTGTAAGAACTTAAAGTTATTTTTTTATACTTATTGCTGTATTGGCATTGCAAATGTTTGATTTATTTAATAATCTTTATTAAATAAATGTAACATTTCAAATGTTCGACTTATTTAATGAAAAAGACATTTTAAACGACTTCTTTATATCAAACATTTATATCATATCAAACAAATATATCAAAAATTTGAAATAACATACAGTATAAGTATTATAAAAAAAGTTTTTTTTCATAATTTATTTATAATAGTTTAGATTATATTAATGTTGTCACGGTACACGGTACTTCGGTACCAAGTCGGTACTAAAAAAATTTAAACGTCACGGTACCAAGTTTTCTTAAGTACCGGTAGTACCGAAGACCCGCTCAAACCCGATTCCTTGATGCGCATGCGTGCAGTAGCGCGTCCTCTTTATTAAACTGCTGAGAAATGGCGACCGGTGGTGCAGCTGATGTGGTAGCTCTAAATCCACTTGTTGAGAAAAAAGGAGGAAAGAGCCATGTGTGGAAATATTTTGGGTTTGCGGTTGATGACAAGGGGAATATCATTGATAATCAAAAACCCATTTGCAAACGATGTCGCCGAAGTTTTCTCTCAAAAGGAGGAAACACATCGAACTTAATAAAACACCTCAAAGACCGACACCCGCATCTGACGAAAGAGTTCAAGCAGGTAAGTTTCAAACTAATTTAAAATATAGAGCTTCTGTAATAAATTATATATCATATTTTAATTTGAATGTCTGAACCAGTCGGATAGAAATAAACAGCCAAAAATAAGTCTTACAGAAAGATTAAAATAACAATAATAAGCTTAAAAATTAAATTAAAAAAAATTTATACTTTTTTTACGTTTTTTTACAACCTATTGTTAAGACTTTTCTTTTAATAAGTATTTCTGTAAATAGTCGTTTGTAAAAAATTGTTTTTAAAAAGTCGCTCATAAAAAGTCGTTTGTAAAAAGTCGTTTGTAAAAAGTTGTTTGTAAAAAGTTGTTTGTAAAAAGTCTTTTGTAAAAAAGATTTTGACGTCTTTAATAGAATTTAATAGACTTTAATAGACTTTACAGAGAAAATAAAATCGGTGACTTCAAAAGCGAAATGTAACTTCGAATTAAAACGTTTAAGCATTAAAAGTTTTGAACAACGTTCAATGTTTTGAATAAAGTCGTTGTTGTTAATAAAATTAATATTAAAAATAGTTCTAAACGATTTAATTTAATAAAAAAAATTATAATTTAGTAAAAGATAATATAAATATATATATTTGCTGATTCTTTCCTTCCTCAAAAAAATAAATAAAAAAATTACAAAAAAATAAAAAATATTTATCGAAGAAAACGTTTTAGCGAATAAAGTTTCATGTATAGTTTTTTCGATTAAAGTATTAAAGGTTTTTATCGCGTTATAAAAATGGAAATAAATATAGTTATAGAAATAGTTTTAAATTTATTATAAAAAATAGATACTTACAAAATAAATAAAACTACATATATTATATTTAATTATTGGGAAAATCCTTCTATTTCTTTACTTTTTTACTTCCATGGTGCTACTAATAGAAATTATGTAATTACCTACCGTGTAAAGGATTAAACAATTTTATACAAAAAGTATTTTTTAACAAAATTTAAAATATTTAATCTTTTTACAAGTACTAATTATTTATTAAAGTTGTTTATATAGGCTATTATATAGGCTATTATAAAAGCTGAGGTTTGTTATTTAGAGAAAAACTAATGTTTCATTTGTTCAGACTCAGCCCATTTTTGACTTCTATGCTTATAAAGTATATTTATTATATTTTCCTTTTACAGCTGCAAGCTGAGGAAGACCATGGAACACCCCTGCAAACTCACAAACAGGCAACAGTTAAAGAAGCTTTTCAGTGGCAACAAAAATATGACAAAAACTCACCTGAGGCAAGAAAGCTGATCCTAGCTGTTGCTGAATTCATATGTATTGATAAAGTGCCCATTTATACAGTTCGAAAATGTGGATTCCAACAAATGCTCCATCATTTCAACCCAAAATACCAGCTTCCAAGTCGAAACTTTTTTATGTACACTGAGATTCCCCGCATGTAAAATGACACCAGAGAACTCATAATCCAGCATCTCAGTGACAAATCATTTTACAGCTGCACAACAGATCTTTGGACAAGTAGAACTGCAGACACTTTCATGTCTTTAACTCTGCAGAACATTACTAAATCATGGGAATTGCAATCCTGGGGTCTTGGCTGTTGTGGTCTCAACACAGACCACACTGCTGAAAGTTTGAAGGAGGCCTTTGATGAAAAACTTGAAGACTGGAAGTTGGACATTGCAAGAATGTCAGGCATCACAACAGGCAGTGCCTCAAATAACAAAAAAGCCTTTGAAGACTACACCTGGACTCCTTGTTTTGGACACAATCTCCACCTTGCTGTAAATAAGGCATTAGACATAAACAGGGTGTCTGCAGTGCTGTCAAGGCTTCGAAAAACTATTTCTGCCTTTACAAGATCCCCAAAACTTTCACTCCTGCTGACCAAGAAACAGAAAGATCTGTCCTCTCCAGACCACAAACTCATTCATGATGAACCCACTCGCTGGAATTCTTCATACGATATTGTGGAACGTTTCTTGGAGCCGCAGCAGGTTGTCTGTGCTGTCCTGGCTGAAGACAGGAAAAAATGGCATCTGATGCCAAAAGACTTAGATATTACAGTTTTAGAAACTGTTAAAGCAGTTCTTGAGCCACTCAGTCCTTTTACTGATGCACTTAACGGGGGAAAACATACCACCCTGTCTTCAGTCTTGCCGATACTCTGGAAGATATTTGAGTGTCTCAGTCATGAACAAAGTGACTCTGCATTAGCCAAAGAGATGAAGGAAAAGATACACGAGTATCTTCAGCATTGCTATGATGACCTGCAGCTTCGGTTTCTTTTGAACACTGCAACCTACCTTGATCCACGATTTAAGAACAACTTTGTCTCTCTAAAGGATGATGTGAAGCAAAGTCTCCTAGATGAGGTGAAAAAAATGGGCAATGAAAAAGAAGGAATTGCATCTCGTGTGTCTGGAGGATTGTCAAGTAAAGAAGTCAGGCCATCGAAAAAATCCAAAAATCACCTAAAGCTTCTGCTTTCCACCATTCAAGGGGAAAAGAAAGAAAAAGGAGAGCCAGCATCCTAAAGTCAAGCACCTCTCTCTGCAAATGACGAGATAAATGGTGAATTTTTGGTGTACGATCAGATGCCTGAGGTCAGTGCTGAGGATGATCCACTTATCTGGTGGAAAACAAATATGGGTACTCTACCTCAACTATCGGAGTTTGCCAGGAAGTACCTTTGCATTGCTGCATTTAGCTGTTCATCTGAAAGAGTGTTCAGTACTGCAGGGTACATTCTTAGCCCAAGACGCTCATGACTGAGTCAGGAACATGTTGATATGTTAGTGTTTCTATCGGAAAATCTGGAAATGGCAAAGAAAGTAACTTAAGGAATAACTGTGTAGACCAGTATTAATTTGGGTGAAACTTGTTTGAAAAAAATGTTGTTATTTATCTAGTTATTTAATTACTCAAATGTTTACAATCCTTGGCTTGAAATATTTATATTATGCCGTTGTTGTTTTGTTTTTTTACATGTATAATAATATTTTAATTTACGACTTGTTGTTCAGTTATGGCATATTTTGTTTAATTTATAAAAATGTTAAAGTTTATAAATAAGAGTGATTATTCAGTCATGCCTTATTGCTTTGTTATTTATCTAGTTATTTAATTACTTAAATGTTTACAATCCTTGGCTTGAAATACTTAAATTATGCCATTGTTTTTTTACATTTATAACAATACTTTAGTTTATTACTTGTTGGTCATGGCATATTTTGTTTATTTTATAAAAATTGCGTTTTTTAGGTTTGTAATTTTTCATTTATTATTTGTGGAAAAAGTTGAAACACAATTTTAAACAAGTATGAAGAATGGCATTGTTTAACTTTATTAATAAAAATAGTGTGTTTTTCAGCTAGCATGTTTTTGTGTTTTGCTTTGATACAAAGAAATGTGAATTTGCATTGGCAAATTTAGTCTAAATTAATCTTTGGTTTGGTACCGAAAAAGGTACCGAAACCGTGGATTTTTACTGGTATCGGTACCGAATACTGAAATTTTGGTACCGTGACAACACTAGATTATATAGCTATTATTAGATATATTATTAAAGGTATTAATAATATATATATGGCATTGAAGTTGTTAGAAGCTGATATTTTACATTTTAAGTATGTCTCTTTTGTTTGATTTTTTCTGTGTTTGATTGTGAAACCCCATCTACTAACATATTAAAACATTGTACAGAAAATGATGTTACTAGAATTTATATTCTACTTATTTCGAGCTTTCTAATATTGTCAGACATTTTATTTTAAGACCAATGACTAGTCTATAATAACTGATTGAATTATGAGATTAAATTAATAAATAATCATTAAAACAAAAAAACTCAATTTGAATCATGATTTTTAATTGTCTGATTTAAATCTTGATATAAATTGAAACAACACTTTATATATTCCATCATTCTAAGGCAGAGGGACATTATTCTTGGTTTTATTATTTTTTAATTTAATATCTCTGGATATTTTTCATATTTAGTTTGCGTACAACAGTTAACAACTTTAAGCTTATAAATTAACTTTACTTATAACTTAATCATTAATGATTTGATTTTTATAGCAATACAAGATTGAATTTAGCTGAAGGTTGAATTCAATCTTGTATTGCTTTAAAAATTTCAAACCTCTGCTCTGGAAATAAAAAAGGAAGACAGCGAAAATGACCAGCTAAAATAAAGATTAAAGAGACAAAAAATTGTGAATATCTTGGTGTTAATTGATTTATCCTCAATTTCTTATAATAAAACAAAAAATATTATTAAACTTTGGTATTTACCTGTAACTCCAAGCTCTTTACAGAAGTTCGATGTTTGCTCTGAGAAGTTGAATGAACAAGATTTATTAAGTCGTAAGTTTTTATATAAAAGTCTATATGTCTTAAGATTGAAAATATTTATTCATAGCTTTAACTTTTACAATTTTAAAGACTTTTTCATATATCACGGTCAAAAAGTCAGAGTGTTAATTAACATTTTATTGTATAATAATCAGCATATCAAAGCTTAATTCAGTGATATTATAGCGTGGTTTAGTAAGATCATCCTCGTACTCATTTAAAAAAAGAATAACATTTTTTTACAATTCAGAAACATTTAAAGCGTTGTGGGCATAGTAAAGAATCTATTTTAAATAGCAATGTTTTTATTAGAGAAACGTAGCTAACTTTGAAATGAAAAATTGTCAAGAAAAGGAAGCCTAATAACATTCTTGTAGTACTGAATAATTGATTCACTCGGATAATTATTTTGATTAAGGTATTTTGCCTATTATACGAGGCTTGTGCTCATTAACACCAACAATAGCTGCCAATACTACAGCTACTTTACTATAAATACTTTACTATCCCAGACAGCAAGCTTACATTGGCCCAATGTAAGTTTTAACATTGGCAAGTTTATTCTGTTGGGCCAACATTTAGCCAATGTTTTTTTTCGGCGTATTATTTTCAATTTTGCAAGTCGGTTTTGTGCAAATATCGTACAATATTGGGCCAACATTTAGCCAATGTTTTTTTTTCGGCGTAATATTGCAATTCTACAAAACAGTTTTTTGCAATTATCGTACTACGTTGGGCCAATATTTGGCCAATGTAGTTTAGGCTTAATATTTTGCCATAAAACATTTTACCGTAGCCAATATTCGGACAATGTAGTTTCGGATTAGTATATACTTTTAAATTGTTTCAAAACATTTTATAAAAATGGTATCGTTTGACAGAATAAAAAAAGGTTTTGATACTATTATATACTTTCCATTTAATTAAATTATAAAAATAAAAAAAAGAAGCTATATTTATTAATCTTCTAATAATCTTAAAAGGTTTCTTATAAGAAGTAAACTTCAAGAGATTCTCGTGACTTAATGTTTTGTTTTTTTAAATGAAATATTTGATAACATTTAAATAATATGCTTGAAACATTTTTTACTACAATCTAAATTATTAATGTAATAATAAAGGCAATAATCAAATTATTTTTGTGTAAGAACTTAAAGTTATTTTTTTATTTTTATTGCTGTATTGGCATTTCAAATGTTTGTTTTATTTAATAATCTTTATTAAATTTAATTTATTAAATTTTATTATTATTTTATAAAATTTATTATTATTATTTATAAATAAATGAAACATTTCAAATGTTCGATTTATTTAATAAAGGAGACTTTTTAAATGCCTTCTTTATTAAATAAATCAAACATTTAAAATGTCATACAGTATAATTTTTTTTTTCATTATTTATAATAGTATAGATTATATAGCTATTATAAGATATATTATTAAAGGTATCAATAATATATATGTGTCATTAAAGTTGTTAGAAGCTGATATTTTACATTTTAAATATGTCTCTTTTGTTTGATTTTTTCTGTGTTTGATTATGAAACCCCATCTACTAACATATTAAAACAGTGTGCAAAAAGTGATGTTACTTGAACTTATATTCTACTTATGTAGAATATAAGTTCAAGTTTGCTTTATGCTTTCTAATATTTCATCTTTCCCAGGAAGAGGGACATTATTCTTGGTTTAATTATTTTTTAATTTAATATCTCTGGATATTTTTTATATTTAGTTAGCGTACAACAGTTAACAACTTTAAGCTTATACATTAACTTTAGTTATAACTTAATTACTAATGATTTGATTTATAGATTTTTAAAGCAATACAAGATTGAATTTAGCATAAGGCTAAATATCTGCTCTGGAGACAAAAAAGGAAGACAGCGAAAATGACCAGTCAAAATAAAGATTGAAGAGACAAAAAATTGTGTATATCTTAGTGAAGATGATTAATCCTCATTTTCTTATAATAAAACAAAAAATATTATTAAACTTTTGGATTTATCTGTAACTCCAAAATTTTTACAGAAGTTTAATGTTTGCTCTGAGAAGTTAAATGAACAAAATTATTAAATGGTAAGTGTCTAATGATTGAAAATCTTTATTCATAGCTTTAACTTTTACAATTTTAAAAACTTTTTCATATATTACGGTCAAAAAGTCAGAGTGTTAATTAACATTTTAGTATGTAATAATCAAAATATCAAAGCTTACACCACAGGCTTGGTCAAGAAGCCGGAGCGATCGCTCTTGAATACTGACCACAGAAAATATATTTAGTTGCGAAAAAACTGGCCAGGTTTTTTAGTTGTTTTGAGAACATTTAAGTTTATAAACGTAACAAAAAATTTTTGCTGGATTTCAAAGTTGGTGTCACCAACTTTAAAAACCATTTGAAATCAAATGTTGAAAAAAACAACAGTATTTGTATTTATATCAGTATTCATATCAGTTTAAAGTTTTAACAGTTGCTGGTGATTCATTATTATTCATTATATAAACGTTTATTTAAAGTTATCTAATAGACAAAGGTAATACAATATTTTTATAGATGATATTTTTTTTTAAAATAGTGTTATTAAAATTCAGAACTAAAATATGTAAAAAAAATTATTTACAAACATTGGACAAGGTCCGTACTGTACCTTGAAAATCTGGAAAATTTGTTAATATTGGCTAAAGTCGTGGAAAACCTGGAAAAGTCAGGAAATTATTTTTTTTATTAGATAGTCATGGAAAAATCAGTAATTCTAGTTAAGAAGTTACTCGTTTCACAAATGAATGCTGTATTTTGAAAACGAGTCACACTTTTTTTAAAAGTAAGGTTATTTGAAAAGAGTATTTTCAAAAAAATATTCTTTTCAAATAACCTCACTTAAAATAAAAGAATATTAAGATAAAATAAAGATTTTTTTTAGATAAAATCAAGATTTTTTTAGATAAAGTAAAAATTTTTTTAGAGAAAAGAAACAATCTTTAGATAAAATAAAAATAAAATTTTTTACAGGAGAAATATTTTTCACTCCCTTGTAAAATTTTAATTTTGTGACTTGTCACATTTTCAAAATACAACGCTCAATTAAGCAATAATGTTTTTTTTGGTGCTACCCATTTATTTTTTCTGAAACTTATGTTTTTCTTAGTGTTCATTCTTAGTCGTCATTGAAGTACAACTTAATAAACTACAAAACACATCAAATTCAGTTATAAAAATTTGAGTAACAAAGGTATACTAATTAATGTATTGCCTGAAAGAGTGTCATTGCTATTAAAAGCAGTGAAGAATTCAAGTACTCTGGAAGAAAAGAAAATACGTAAGTAAATAGTAAATATTTTTTTATAATTTTTTTTATGCATTTTGTATGATATCTTAGTACAATTTATATACTTTAAATAAAATACTCTTTGAAGATTTTTTGTAAATTCCATTTTATATTAATTTAAGTCTAAACAAAAGTTACTTTAATTATTGCCAGGTTGTGTATTTTTGCAGGTCAATTATTTGGCACAAATCGGAGTTAAAGACAAAGGAGATTGTATATTTTATTTGCTAAGAATAGTTTTTTTAAAATGGCCTAGTTTTAAAATTAAACAATTCAGGGAGAGGACAAAAAATTGGAATAGAAAAAATGTTGATTGCATATGCTGCTATTGGTAAGTGGTTAAGAAAAGTTTATTTTTTCAGTTTCAATTTTGCATTACAGAATTACTTTCAATTTGTTATTTTTCTTTGGTGCATAATTAAACAAACAACTTTTTTTTTTTTGCAGAAACTGTGAATTCAAATAAGCATGGCTTATGCAGACATGTGATAGAGATAGAGGAAGAAAAAATAATAATCGTGGGCACCAAATATCATAAGCTAAACACTATTCAATAACAAGTAGCTCAGCCAATATCAAAACTACTCTATAAATTTTGTAGTGAATTTTTTTATTAAAAACTCAATGTATTAGTTTTTGGTTTAACTTTGGTGTTTGCAATATGTATATTTAACCGATAAATTATGTTAAATAAATAAATTTTTATACTTGTATCATACATTCTTTTTTTTCTCTATAAATTTTCAATGTAGCGATGCAAATCATCTTATTTGTCACAACGATCTAATGTTGCATAAAACGTTAGGCCGATATATAACATACGATATTGGGCCAATGTTGTATACAACGTTGGGTCAATGTTGTATACAACATTGGCCTAACGTTATATACAACGTTGGGCCGATGTTGGGTAAACGTTGTATACAACATTGGGCCAATGTTGTACACAACATTGGGCCAATATCTAACCAATGATCAAACCTGCATTGGGCCAACATCGACTTTCAACGTTGGGCCAATGCATCATCATGCATTGGCCCAACGTTGGTCCAATGTAAGCTCGCTGTCTGGGATACTTTACTATACATACTTTATATACTTTACATTTACTAACTGCAAAAAAATATTACAGTATTGTTGGCATTCCTATATTGAAAAATAACAACCCTCTTTCTCTCAGACAAAGTCTAAAAGCACATTGTAAATGTAATAAGATCAGCTTTATCTGCCGAGGTTGGACCACTCTCCCATTCTTATAAGGTTGCATTTCTTTTTTTTTTCTATAAATACAATCATAGCCAATACTCAAACAAACTTTCATCTCTATAACAATAAACCAAAACTCATTCTCAATTGGCTATTTATTCAACAAGTAGCATTCTTTAATTGTATTTATCCCTTCATGCTATATAATCTTTTTACAGCATAAATAATTCTATTTTTTTCCTTGAACATCAAAAAAATCTTATAACTCTTACAAAACTTCATGTTTTCCTTTTTTATACAATCTACAACTTTTTATGCCTTTAGTTGTAAGTTTCCTAGTATTTTAACTGGTTCTTTATTTGAAAGTAACTCATTACTTAATAGTGGTTGCTTGTAATCTTGTTGGAAGTAAATTAGATTTTAAAATATATAAATATATGCCAGTATTTAACAAATAGTAAATGTAAGCATAAAATTATAACATATTAAGTATTATAAACTTTTTTCTACCCCCAGCTATCAACCCATGCTAAATCTTATAATTTTGGCAGGGCCGGGTTTACAAAAAGTCTCTCTATTTTAGCTGAGGCCAAGGTCCTGGTCACTTATTAATGTTTTGTAAAATTTATTTACATTTTTAAAAGATTATTTTAGAATAATAAAACTTTGAAAAAATGTCTGCATAACATCTGGAGGTTTCTCCAGATATTTGGCAACTGGAATAAATGAGCACCTTAAAAGTGATGAACAATTTCATATATTTAAACACTTAAATTTATCTATCAATTTCAAAAATCTGGTTAACTGTAATTCTTTTGATATTTAGGATAATGCCCCAACGAAACACAAATTAAAGATAAAAGAAGTCCTCCACATTTAATGGGGAAGTCCCTCAAATAATAAACAAACTTTAAATTATGCTATAAACTTAACTATTTGATTTTACTGTCAGTTTATTATTATTTATATATATATTTTTAGAGTTATTTATTTGGTAATAAATATATTGGTTTATAATATAAATTTTTGTTCATTTATTATTTTTCTGTAAAGACTACTATTTTTTAATTTTAATATATTTCAGAGTTTTATTATTGTAAAATAATGTTTTGAAAATGTAAATAAATTTTACTAAACATGTCAAGAACAAAAAAACATAGTGTTATTTTTCAAAATAATTATATATATATATATATATATATATATATATATATATATATATATATATATATATATATATTTATATATATATTTATATATATATATATATATATATATATATATATATATATACATATATACATACATATATACATATACACATATATATATATATACATATATATATATATATATATATATATATATATATATATATATATATATATATATATATATATATATATATATATATATATATATATATATATATATATATATATATATATATATATATATATATATATATATATATATATATATAGTAAAGTACCCATTTTTCAAACTGGCACTTATTCAAATTTTCATTTTCAATTTACATTCCTTGTGAGGTTTCTTTAATATACTCATGCAAATGCCCATCGGTTATTAGAACCTGCAGGTATTGGATTTATTCTCCCCTTGACGATGAACAAAACACATTTAAAGAAAAAGGAAGAAAAAAAAAATGGACAATTTTTTCAATAAATTATAAAACAAATGTTGCTTTACAAAAAAAAAAACTAAAGAAGCATCTCATTTCAAAAATCTTTTATTTTTTTACATTCTACTTTTATTAAAATTTAAAAGTACCTTGAAATATGTCACTTTAAACATCATTTTCAGTTATTCGAA